TACAAGAATTTTCAATGTTTACTACGCGGACGAAGATTGTATCTTGTTGTAATTGAAGAAGTTGTGATAAATTTCTCTCCAACTTCTTCTGGAATTCTATCGAAATCAAATAATTGGGTCTTCAAAATCATTTGCTTCCTCTGGAATTCTCTATCCATCCATGAAGGCCAGTCTACATCACTATCATAGTCTGACTCCCATGACAACTCTTTGTTTCTTTGCATGCCATTAACTTCTCACAAGGTTTGTAGCATCTGATATTCAGAATCATAGTCTCTGCGAAACAACAAACCATGGTTTTATCAGTTCTAGAATCTATAAATAAGTCTACTTTTATGAACTCTTCATTCCTCATCCTGTATGTAACACTGGCGTAGAACTGCAATGCAGAAGAATCAGAAAAAGTGATCTAACTGAAGTTATTATCCATGTTTGTTGCTCAACTTCATTCGTTGTGAATCGGACTATTGCCACTTCGACAAGAATGTAAGGCACACAGCCCTGTCAATAACAAAAAAAAAAAAAGTTTAGAACTGGAAACTGATACAGATACAGATCACACATAATTGAAACTAGAATATGATGTGCATACCCATATATAGCTGTGCCTATGGTGTATGTTTGCTTTGTACTGGTGAACATGTAGATGATGAAAATAGACATAGAGTAGATGAAGAAGGCTTAATTACTCGCGCTCCAACAGCATGGCTTTCTGCAAAGCCGATAGCTTATCTAGAGAAATGAACAGCTGCTTGCTTTGATTCGAAAGCTTCCTGCAAAATGAAAATGGAATTTCAATACTAATAGTGATTTACTTCGATTAAGAGTCACAAGGCTTATAGGAAATGCAAACCTGAGCTGCCATATTGATTTCGAGTTTTCAACCAGGTGTCATGGACTTCCGGAAGCTGTGCTTGTCTCTTAAGAAGCTCTTCCTGTTGTTTTTTGTCCATATTCAGCTAATTCTTGCAGTCTCTTCCTGTATCATCAACCAAGAATGTTTAGATAAACTTTGACGATTTTTACTAAATAGTTTTTTTTTCACATTTACCTGCTCTCTTCAGTGCTTCGGACTGAAATTTGGTTAAAAATTGAAGACCATCAGTGCAGTGGATTGACCCTGAGTAGTTGTTGTTGCTTATCTATAGAACCCCTGCCATGTCCCAATATCATCAGCTTTCTTCTGAAGATTTTCCATCCTGGAAACATTGCATCTCCAACTTTGCCGATCTCCTTCTGTATTTCAATGGCCTCCTCCCTCAGTTACCGACTTCTTCACACCAATTACTGTAAGCATCATGAAGCATGTCATCCCTTCATCAAACTTTTCCTTCATTCTCACTTGTCCTACTCGCAGCTCCGCTGAGAAGATGCGATTTTCATGGATTGGTGATAAACAGCTTCCGAATGCCTCGACAAACATCCTATGCTCTTGTACACCCTTTGCCCTTTGAGCTACACTTTGAACCCGGAGATCAATCGAATCCAACGAATCAAAATCTTGCTGGAACTCTGCAATGATTATCAGACTTGTCTTCTATAATTTCCAGCTTGTTTTCTGTATGTTCCGCGGAACGTCTAAGGTCATTCACCAATCTCTCAGTTTCATGCTGGAAGGCATGAGCCCTGGCAATGAACAAACAAAACTTCAGCTTTGTTTCAAGCAGTAAAATTCCTAATTCGATGAAATAACTATTGTACTTAACTGTAACTGATAGAATAGAGTTGGTTTCCAATAAGAAAGCAAGATAAGTCTTATGCTCTTTGTCGTCTATTCTTGAGGCAATTAATCATGGCAGATTTTGGATCACAGTAGAATGGAGGTTCCCTGAGTCCTTTTGAAAGCAATCACTGAGATGCCAAGCAAATCTAGACCTTTTCTCTTCAGCGGCAATAATCACCGAGCAACCAGCAAAGAGATGTCTATAAGCTTTTTTCCAACAAGTGTTTGAGCCAACCAATTTGCCTTTAGCTTCTTCAACAAGCTTGCTTTCCCTTCTCGTTGTGAAGACCCTTTACAAGAATTCAGCACACAAAACCATTGGAATTATCTTTCATCCGTGAAGGAAATCGTCAGCTTGTGTTTTCTCTGCAGAGTGCCAGAAGAAAACCACCCCCATGACTGGCACTTTGGTGGAATAAAGAATAAATTAACAGCCACAGAATGAGGAGGACAACCCATTTGATATTCTCTATAAATTTTTCCAGTATTATGAAACCTGCAAAACAGTGATCAAATTCAATAATTCTTGCCTAATTTATGCATGCTAAAAATCTGCTTTGTTCTTATATCAAAAATTTTACACATTCAGCTTCTGCTTCTAAGCGAGAAAGAGAATGACAAGAAGACTTTTTTAGGACAAAGAACGATAAAACTTGAATTGCAGTAAAGCAGTCTGAGAATATGAAATGACAATTAAAGGGAAAAGTTAAAAAAAAAAAATATATATATATATATATAATGGATCGTGACATATATAATTAAACACAAAAAGAACAACATGGAACATCTCACAATTATGAGTTAATTTATTTGTTCTAAATGACCAAAAAAACAAAAAAAAAAAAGGCCTCATTCTGATATTTCTCTTCTATGCAAAATACAGTGTAATTATTCAACTGCAAAGAATTTCAAACTTTTTTGTGAATTGCCGAGGATTCCCATGATTGTGTGCTCTGTTTCTGGCAGAGCATGATAGAAATATAAATAATAAACGGCGAATTGTAACTAATGACGAAAAGGACATGCAGAAGATGAAATAAACCAGACGTAACGAAAAGTCATTTTCTTGGTTTATAGTATTGATGACTTACAGGTACAAATTCCAGACCTCTGTATATTTTAAGTTATCTTCACCTTTCTTGGCGATTCTGTCCATGACCAAACTTAAAATTCATTCCTAATGACCTTTTCTAATAAGCACAGCAGGGACGGTTAACACCATATATAACAGAAATGTACACACTCCAGCATGGAGTGATTAAATAAATGAAGAAGTGGACGGAACCCAACCATACGAAATCACAAACTTTGAATATGAACAGATAATAAACAAAAAAATTCAGAGAGAAGGGAGGGAGAAACCTTATAGGATAATTGTGTGTCGCAGTGTTGTGTACTGTGGAATGTGTTTTGACTCTGTTGTCAACGTAGTTTTTTGTAGAAGGAAGGTGAAACAAAGGATATGATATATATATATATTATAACGGTTATGACGCTTGAAGAGGAAACAAAGAAATTAAACGGTGCATGTGCTTCTAAAAAGGGTGAGTGCCCATTAAACATCCATCCTTTAGGCATAACATTGATTGGTTATTCTTTCTAATAAATGAAGCTTCTTCAGAAAATATTAGTTTATGGTAACAAATCTTTGCATTTAAAAGATTTAACTTATATACACATGTTCATATCTGAACAAGAAGAGGAAACTCATAATTTAATTAATGAGTTTTGAGTCCTCATATGTTAAATGATCTGTTTTTTTCCAGGTTGTGGCCCGTTGCCATCTGGAAACACTAAAATTAACTCATAATTTATTTTTAAGCCTTGGAAAACAAATTTAAAATCATTGTTATTAGTATCTTACAATACGGAATATATATCTTACAATATGATTTGATACGAGTCACCAACGATATGTATCAGAGAATGTATCCTAAGCCTTTCGATACGTTAATATGTGTCCTATGATACGATACGTATCCATTCATATCCTTAAAAATATTGATACAAGTTGATATGACTTTATTAAATTGGGTCGAAGGCTCAAAAAAAAATTCGGATCGAGTCACCCAACCGAGTTCACTAAAACCTGCCTAAATTTACCCACTTTACATGAAGAAAGTGAAAAGGAATATGTGTTACCTACTTTTACGTGATAATAATAACACTAGTGGAGATACAGATATTGACATTGATATTAGAAATGATATGAATGGTTGAAAGAAAATGATATAGATTATTAATTTTGATAATGTAATACTATAATTTAAAGTTAATAATACCACAAAATTCCTTAATTAATCATAAAGATTATATTAATTTTTATAAAATTTTTATTATTTTATTTATTTTTTTGAAAAATGTGTATGCTACGATACAATACGATACACAATTCAAAAAATTAGGTTTTTGCTACACGATATTATACGCAATTTGACAACCATGTTTAAAATCTTTAACTTCTCATCTATAAAATTGAATTCAAGACATTGTACAGAGTTACCAAGAAAATTCCGGGAAAATGGCTAAGAAAAGGAAACAACACTACCCTGACCATTCTTATTTGAGTAATGCTACATCTACACTACGCATTATATCATTTTCATTACACCATGATGTGACATATCCCACATTTACACAAAATTTTAATTATTTTAAAATTTTAATATTATAATAAAATAATTATTAATAAAATGGTGATGATGTAATAAAAATGATGTAATGGATAGTATAAATGTAGCATTACTCTTCTTATTTTATGTATGGTATAGCTTACAAATTGAATTGAACCTCCTCGCCCTAATTTTTGTATGCACGTCACAGAGGGACTGAACCAGTTACTTCAAGCAAACAAATAGATGATCGTTCTCCAGCTGTAACCTCCGGTTATACCGAAATTGGCCACAGTTTTAGTGTTTATATCTTCTATTGGGAGAAGTTTCAAGTTCTAAATGCTTGATTTCCTCTTTCAATTCTTGCAAAGTAGCTTCCCTAGAATTGTGTGTCCCCCGAACATTGGCGTCACCCATTAAATTGGAAAGATGTTTCAGACANAAGTTGTAGTCCTGTTATTCTGTAGCATAAATGTGTAATTTTGATGGGTACTATGTCTTTGTTTATATTGTGTAGTGTCTTTTTCTTAGTAATTGCAGGTGCACGGGACAGAAGTAATTTCATAGATTAGAAACACCTGATAATCTTTCCCTTGTGTTTTGATGACATAGTAATTTCTATAGAGATTGGTAGAGATTATAATCAGCCTTGTTAAAAGCATAGTAATTTCTATAGAGATTGGTAGAGATTATAATCAGCCTTGTTAAAAGTCAAATATCAGGTTATCTTTTTTGGTTATTCAGGAATATGAAAAGAAAGAGACAAACTTTTAGCACCATGGCATCACAATTTTGGGATAGAAATTTTCTAATGTAAGTAAGAAGCTGATTTATCGATGTTCCATTCCTGTCGAGGAAGAGAAATCTTTCAAATTATTTGCCATTCATCATTCTTCCTACATATTATCGATTGAGCACACCCTGAGTTCCGTTGTTGAAGCTTTGATAATTCATGAAGTTTTGAGAACGTTCTTGTCGTGGTAGGTTTTGGATTGGTCGATTCTTTTTAGGTCTCAAAACCTATCCTTTATCAGTGATTATGACAGAAATGGTGTATTTCAATTATTTGGTGACCTGAATACGTATATGCATATGGAAATGACATTTGTATATAACTTATTGCAGTTTAGCTCAAAACACAAAGGAAATTACCATCTTCTGATCACATTGCTGAAGCTTTGTGCTGGGATGGATGAAGATTTAGTTGTGCATAATGGCGGATGCCACTGTGGAAGAGTAAGATGGCAAGTCCAAGCGCCGAGTAGTGTTGTAGCTTGGAAATGCAACTGTTCTGACTGCTCAATGAGAGCCAATGTTCACTTCATCGTTCCTTCTCGAAGGTTTGAGCTTTTGGGAGATTCCAAAGAGCTTCTTACGACATACACGTTTGGCACAAATACAGCGAAGCACACATTCTGTAAGGTCTGTGGCATCACTTCATTCTATATTCCACGGTCAAATCCAGATGGAATTGCAATTACATTCAGGTGCGTGGACCAGGGGACGCTATCCCATGTTGAGATTAAGTTTAATGATGGAAAGAATTGGGAGAGTTCATATAATCAATCTGGAATTGCTTCCTGCTCAGTATGAATCTACATTTCAAGTAAATTGATTCTAGTCATGAATGGGATAAATAAAAATATCAATACAATAGCTAAATCTCATTCCTACAAGAAGTTATCAATGTTTACTACGCGGACGAAGATTGTATCTTGTTGTAATTGAAGAAGTTGTGATAAAATTCTCTCCAACTTCTTCTGGAATACTATCCGAAATCAAATAATTGGGGTCTTCAAAATCATTTGCTTCCTCTGGTAATTCTCTATCCATCCATGAAGGCCAGTCTACATCACTATCATAGTCCGACTCCCATGACAACTCTTTGTTTCTTTGCATGCCATTAACCTTCTCAAGCAAGGTTTGTAGCATCTGATAATTCAAGAATTCATAGTCTCTGCGAAACAACAAACCATTGTTTTATCAGTTCTAGAATCTATAAATAAGTCTTTCGAAACAAAACTTTTGTGAACTCTTCATTCCTCAAACCTGTATGTAACAATGGCATGTAGAAGCTGCAATGCAGAAAAAATCAGAAAAAGTGATCTAACTGAAGTTATTATCCATGTTTGTTGTTCAATTTCATTCGTCGTGAATCGGACTATTGACACTTCGATCAAGAATGTAAGGCACAGCCCTGTCAATAACAAAAAAAAAAAAAAAGTTTAGAACTGGAAACTGATACAGATACAGATACACAATAATTGAAAACTAGAATATGATGTGCATACCCATATATAGCCTGTGCCTAATGGTGTATGTTTGCTTTGTACTGGTGAACATGTAGATGATGAAAATAGACATAGAGTAGATGAAGAAGGCCTTAATTACTCGCGACTCCAACAGCATGGTTTTCTGCAAAGCCGATAGCTTATCTAGAGAAATGAACATGCTAGCTTGCTTTGATTCGAAAGCTTCCTGCAAAATGAAAATGGAATTTCAATACTAATACGAACATTTACTTCGATTAAGGGTCATAAGGCTTATAGGAAATGCAAACCTGAGCTGCCAATATTGATTTCGAGTTTTCAACCAGATGATCATGGACTTCCTGAAGCTGTGCTTGTCTCTTAAGAAGCTCTTCCTGTTGTTTATGTCCATATTCAGCTAATTCTTGCAGTCTCTTCCTGTAATCATCAACCAAGAAATGTTTAGATAAACTTGACGATAATTTTACTAAATGAGTTTTTTTTTCACAATTTACCTGCTCTCTTCAAGTGCTTCGGACTGAAATTTGGTTAAAAATTGAAGACCATCAAGTGCAGTGGATTGACCCTGAAGTAGTAGTTGTTGTTTATCTATAGAAACCCCTGCCATGCTCCCAATATCATCAGCTTTCTTCTGAAGATTTTCCATCCTGGAAAACATTGCATCTCCAACTTTGCCGATCTCCTTCTGTATTTCAATGGCCTCGTCCTTCAAGTTACCAACTTCTTCACCCAAATTACTGTAAGCATCATGAAGCAATGTCATCCCTTCATCAAACTTTTCCTTCATTCTCACTTGTCCTTCTTGTAGCTCCGCTTGAGAAGATGCGATTTTCATGGATTGGTGATAAACAGCTTCCGAATGCCTCGACAAAACATCCATATGATCTTGTACACCCTTTGCACTTTGAGCTACACTTTGAACCCGGAGATCAATCGAATCCAACGAATCATAAATCTTGCTGGAACTCTGCAATAGAATATCAGACTTGTCTTCTATAATTTCCAGCTTGTTTTCTGTATGTTCCGCGGAACGTCTAAGGTCATTCACCAATCTCTCAGTTTCATGCTGGAATGCATGAGCCCTGGCAATGAACAAAAACAAAACTTGTCAGACTTTGTTTCAAGCAGTGAAAAATTCCTAATTCGATGAAATAAACTAATTGTACTTAACTGTAACTGATAGCAAATAGAGTTGGTTTCCAATAAGAAAGCAAGATAAGTCTTATGCTCTTTGTCGTCTAATTTCTTGAGGCAATTAATCATGGCAGATTTTGGATCACAGTAAGGAAATGGAGGTCTCCCTGAGTCCTTTTGAAAGCAATCACTGAGATGCCAAGCAAATCTAGACCTTTTCTCTTCAGCGGCAATAATCACCGAGCAACCAGCAAAGAGATGTCTATAAGCATTTTTCCAACAAGTGTTTGAGCCAACCAATTTGCCTTTAGCTTCTTCAACAAGCTGCTTTCCCTTCTCGTTGTAAAGACCCTTTACAGAGAATTCAGCAACAAAACCATTGGAATTATCTTTCATCCGTGAAGGGAAATCGTCAGCTTGAGTTTTCTCTGCAGAAGTGCCAGAAGAAAACCAACCCCATGACTGGCACTTTGGTGGAATAAAGAATAAAATTAACAGCAACAGAAGATGAGGAGGACAACCCATTTGATATTCTCTATAAATTTTTCCAGTATTATGAAACCTGCAAAACAGTGATCAAATTCAATAAATTTATGCTTCCAGTAATTTATGCATGCTAAAAATCTGCCTTTGTTCTTTATATCAAAAATTTTACACATTCAAGCTTCTGCTTCTACGGCGAGAAAGAGAATGAACAAGAAGACATTTTATAGGACAAGGAAACGATAAAACTTGAAGTGCAAGTAAAGCAGTCTGAGAATCTGAAAAGGACAATTAAAAAAAAAAAAAAATATATATATATATATAACGGATCGTGACATATATAATTAAACACAAAAAAGAACAAGGAACATTTCACAAATTATGAGTTAATTTATTTGTTATGAATGACCAGAAAAAAAAGGTCTCAAATGTGATATTTCTCTTCTATGCAAAATAAAGTGAAATTATTCAACTGCAAAGAAATTTCGAACTTTTTTGTGAATTGCCGAGAATTCCCATGAAATTGTGATGCTCTGTTTCTGGGCAGAGCATGATAGAAAAATATAAATAATAAACGGCGAATTGTAACCAAGTAGACGAAAAGGACATGCAGAAGATGAAGAATAAAACACAGACGTAACCAAAAGTCATTTTCTTGGTTTCTAGTATTGATGACTTACAGGTACAAATTCCAGACCTCCGTATATTTTAAGTTATCTTCACCTTTCTTGGCGATTCTGTCCATGACCAAACTTAAAATTCATTCCTAATGACCTCTTCTAGTACTTGTCATTACAAATGTATCAAAATAAGCACAGCAGGGACGGTTGCCACCATATATAACAGAAATATACACACTACGGCGTGATGTGATTAAATAAATGAAGAAGGGGAGGGAACCCAACCGTACAAATTCACAAACTTTGAAAAAAAAAAAAAAAAAAAAAAAAAAAAAAAAAAAAAAAAAAAAAAAAAAATTCAGACAGAGGGGAGGGAGAAGCCTTAAAGGATAATTGTGTGTCGCTGTGCTGTATACTGTGGAATGTGTTTTGACTGTGAAACAAAGAATATGATATATTGTAACAGGTATGACGCTTGAAGAGGAAAAAAAGAAATTAAACGGTGCATGTGTTTCTAAAACGGGCGGGTGCCCATTAAACCTTCGTCCTTTACAAATATGTAAAGGCATAACATTGATTGGTTATTCTTTCTAATAAATGAAGCTGCTTCAGAAATATTAATTTATGGTAACAAATCCTTGCATTTAAAAGATTTAACTTCTATACACATGTTCACATCTGAACAAGAAGAGGAAACTCATAATTTAATTGACGAGTTTTGAGTCCTCATATGTTAAGTGATCTGTTTTTTCCAGGTCGTGGTCCGTTGCCATCTGGAAACATTAAAATTAACTCATAATTTATTTTTAATCTTGCAAAACAAATTTAAAATCTTTAACTTCTCGTCTGTAAAATTGAATTCAAGACACTGTACAGAGTTGCCAATTGCAAAAAGCTTGGGTCGAAAATCCGGTCCTAGGACTGGTCTTTGGGAGCATGATCGAAGGCTTGGTCCCAATTAATTTTAAAACCCCCCTGACCCAATTACCAAAACCCTCTTGACAAATAGCCAAAACCCCTATAATATATGAAATACATAATAAATTTAGGAGTTAAAAACAATTTTACAATTAGGGGTTAAATTAAAATTTTTCAATCCCATAAGACCGGTCCTAAATAGGCCAAGTCTGAACATGGGACAGGTCTGGACCCTCACAAAAGTGAGGAGCCCAAGACCAGTCCAAGCCAATCCGGGCCTTGGCCTAAGATCATCGGGCCCAACTTAAGCCAATCTGGGCCTTGGCCTAAGATCATTGGGCCCAACTTTTGCCTACCTCTAAGCCCAACAAGTCAATAACAACTTAGACTACCTTCAGCATGACAGTCTATGTAAGACAATTGACATAGCATTCTAGTTATGCATTTGCAGACAAGTGTTTCATGTTTTGGCTCTAGTGGTGACTTGAAAAGTTGAAATGAAAGTTGGTTCTTCCGCTCTTCCTTCGATGACTCTATTTGTTTACTTCTCACTTCTGAGGTACCAAACTCTAATCTTAGTTACTACTATCCTTCTCTAGAGTCTAGACTATGTATTCGACCTCTCTTTGCAATCCAAGATTTGGGCTTCAAATTATTTTTCTAGATCGTGGAACACGTTTTAATCGTAATCACTTATGGATGTAGTTGTGATAGGGCTGAATAGGTGTAGCTTGGTTTCTGCTTCTTTATATATGAAACGTTAAGCATAAGCTTCTATTTCTGAAATCCAAATTGTATATGAGTAGTTTTAAGCTCTGTTTTAAAAACCGGACCGGACCGGTTGGACAGGGAACCGGCAGCTTCTTTGGTCCGGTTTAGGTCTTAGGGGGTTTTTGAAATATTTTAAAATTATGAGGGTTACTTTGTAATTTTTAGGGGTATTTTGGAGATATATCAAAATTTTAGGGATTTATTGGTAATTTTATTGGGGTATTTTTGGAATAAATAAAAAATTTTAGGACCAATTTGAACTTTTTTAGGGGAATTTTTGTAATATATTGAAATTCAAGGGGTTAATATGTAATTTTTTAAAAATAAAATATTGCTAATGTCATCGGTCCAACCAATTGGACCGGTTGACCCATGACCCGGATAGCAAAACGGTTTACCCTTCGGTCCGAGTTTTAAAACAATGGTTTTAAGTTTAGCCATTACTTTGGTAAATAAGATGTGGCGCAATCTCGAGATGGGCTTTAACTTGGTTCCAGGTAGTAACTGTAAAACTTACATTACTCATGTAAGGTTGATAATTGATTTTCATTAAGTATAAATTGGTTTTAAAGATTAATGATCCACATTTGTTGTTTCAGTTTTCCAAACGTTTTTTGTTTAACCATTGATTGGGATTTATGGCAGTCATTAAGCAATGCCATTAAGAGGTTGATGGAAGCTTGGTTATATATAATGTTTTGGTCCTGTAATACTTTCTTTCTAGCTACTATACTCGTAAAATAACAGTAAAACTCACTAAAAATATATATAAGAAAATATACATATAAACGAGTATAACATTATGGGCCCATATTTAATTTTTCTTTATATACAAATCTTTACATAATATAATAAAGTCTCAAAATAGTAACTCGATAGTTTTGCCCAACCCTTCCGCTGCGTAATATTCCAAGTGACCGCATCTTAAATATTACCTGCAAATACATTGAAAACAATGGAGTGAGCACTAATTGTTCAGTAAGTAAAACCGCTATGCTACCATTCTCTCTCTGTTGCTTAAATTCTGAATTTCTTTCCTTACTTCACACTTCCCCATTCTTCTCTATTCTTTCTCTACTCTTACTCTGTTTCGCTCTGTTCTTTCTCTATTCTAATTCTCATTACTCAAGATAATGGGCATGGTATTATGCATATATATGATGCAAATGCACAAATGCATAAAATGTGCATTTTCTTTTCTATTTTTCTTATTATGTTTTCTGTTTCTTTTATATATTTCTTTCTTTCTTTTTTCTTTCTTTTCTAGTCTTTCTTTCTTTCTATTCTGTCTTTTCTTGCTGATCGGACTCGGTTGAGGCATGGATTTGGAACCTTGGCCGTGTGAGTGAATTCTCTAATTCTGGGTAAAGTCCTCATCTACACGTACTTCTAACGGACTATACAATTCTTCTTTCTAAATTCTGAGGCCACACTCACCAAAGGCGACGTGCATGTGGGGCTATATCACTCACGGGCTCCCCATCGCAACAACCTTTTCTTCTTTTTATCTTTTTACACTTTTTTAAATAAAAATTCAGATTTGAACTTTTTTAATATTCTCATTTCTTTTTATTTACCCTTTAACATTCTTTAGTGCTTTTTCATACTGTTATGAGTATGTATGCATGTAGATGGTTTCATGCTTATAATTCTTTCTAAGTTTACATGTTTAGATGCAATAATGCAATATGGAATGCAAACATGTCATTCTCTACCACCTACAAACTCAATCCGAAGTAACCCATAATCATACTCATACATGCACTTCTCTATGACATTTCATCAAACAATTCATGTGCACAAATTAACTCTAATTTGGCTACACTTCTACCTCTTTTCTAAGCCACAAAAAATTTGGTATAAAATCTTCTATCTATAACGCCAAACCTGTCTAAATATGCACTCCAAAATTTCTACTCCAATTCTTCCAAATTTTATCCAAACTTACATCAAATATCAAATACACAAACACTATTTCTCATAGACAAGTTTTAATCATCATTTAACACCAAATCCATCAACAATTCTTAATATAAAACACATATATGTATAAAAGAAATTCTCTACACAATATTACTTAAATCATTCTTTGGGTAGGATTTACTTACCTTAGATGTGAGCAATCCAACACTTAAATAGTCTTCTTTGATCCAACTCTCTTTCTCTTAAATCTTATGAACACAAATCATCAAAATTCAACACTTTAAAAATTAAAACTCACTTCTTAGTGTAAGGATCTTACCTAAGGATGTTTGGGATTGAAAATCCACTAAAAAGTACCCAAAATCTATGAATTTCCTTTGAAAAAGAATTGAAGAAATTGAGAGAATTTGGGTGGTAAGTGGCGTGAAAGAGGAGAAGAAGTGGCTAAGGTTTCACCCTTCAATTCTTGATATAACATAATATTAGTTATAGTTTCCCATTTTGCCCTTGCACTTTCTATAAAATTCCATCTATGTCCCTTAGTCAATTACCATAATGCCCTCATTTTATTGCATTCTCCATGAAATTCTATTTCTTTTCACTCTTCACATTTTCAACTAATTATGAGTGAAAAGACCATTTACCCCTAATGAAATTTTAAGGCATTTTCTTCACATTTTTCTGAAAATAACTTTAACAAAATTCAACTAAGGGTATAAGGGCATAAGTTAAGCTACGTACCTCGATGTGGGCGTTATAGGTCCCTAAGCTCAAGTACTCAACTAAAACAAAATACGCCATCAATATTATAATGTCTTGAGAACTTAAAAGAGCCAAAATACAACTTCGTGAGTTTGTTTCAATGGCTAGAGGTAATCCTTGATTCTTGGTTTATAGTCTAAGGACATTGTATTCTTTGTATTTCTATCTAGATTGCAGATAAGTTTCTTAT